GAGGGGCACCCGACTAGGACAGCTGCTGTGCCTTGCTTCTTAAAGCCTTGTGAGGTCTCAGTACAACCTTGCAGGCCACACAAAGGCTTTGCAAACGACCAGCAACAGCAATGCTTGGGAGGTAGGAGGAAGAGGGAGGGAAGCGATGTGGGCAACTGTACAAGAGCCCCTTTTTTTTTAATCACACGACTGTGGGGAACTGTTGAGGACTCATCATAACTACCGTTTGTTATGCACAGTCATAATTTTTAATGGTCACAGTACAAATGGTTGCTAAGCGATGACTACCTGTAGATAGATCGACCAAAAGATAATAGAAAACAGCAGCATTTGCCTGCTACTTATTCAAGCAACTCTAAGTGGCTTAAAATATACAATTTAAGAAATGATTCATATTCAATGCAATCATTACCAGAGGAAAGCATTACTATTCTAAAAACCCATGAATCTTGGAAAGATAACAGGGTGACAGCATAGTTGGAGGGGGAAACACTACCCCATACAGTAGGGATCTTCCTAAGAAGCTTATTCCCCAGGGCCCAGCTCTTGATCTACCATGGAGTGAATACAGGTGGACCTCGACTTACAACCACAATTGAGCCCAGAATTTATGTTGCTAAGTGAGACATGGGTTGGGTGAATTTTGTTCTATTTTACATATATCTTAGCATATATGCAACCATCATATATGCTAAGCATCTGAACTTTGATCATATGCCCAAGGGGATGCTGCAGCAATCATAAGCATGAAAAATGGTCATAAGTCACTTTGAACAACCACTAAATGAACTGTTGTAAGTCGAGAACTACCTGACCTCAAAGCATCCTCCTCCTTCTGGAATATGCAGGAGAGCAGATTCTGCCCAAAGGAGATGGTCCTGGGGGCAACGGGGTTAGAATTTTGGGTGCTATTTGGAACCCTGACACAAGAATCCAAACTGGGCTTACAGGTAACAACCAGCACCTTGAAGTGAACTCAGAAACTAATGAAGATCTACTGGTATGCAGATTCTGAGAAGAGAGACAGAAAGACATCTTAAATGAGATGTTATATCCAGCATTTCTATAGCACACGGGAAGCCCTGTTCTCCTAAACCTCTACTGCCTATCAGCAGCTGCACCCAGTGACAATGGTAATGATGAGAGAATCTATTCAGGTCCATTTCTCTGGAACAGGGTGGTGGTGGTGGAAGCAAAATGTAGATGACTTCTAAGTCATCTTCAAAAAGAACCCCAGATAAAGCAGTCTGCAATGTAATGAAGACTTGACTCATCGCTTTCAACATTACCAAATCAGGAAAGGGCATAACTGATAGACCTGCTGAAGCTGGCTAAAGGCACCTTTGGATACCATTTCTATCTGCCATCCACAGCTTCCAAAATCCCAGAAGAATTCCCAGATTCATTTTTTTTAAAAAGACACCATTTTAATGAAGAGTCTTACCACTTACAAGATATTGTATTAACTCCCAGGTTATGTTTACAGACATTTCACTACAATTCTTGAGTCCTTAATCTTCCTCAACTGAGTAGGATTTGACAGTTCCATGTTAAATTGTGTTCTCATAGAGGCTCTGCACCTGTACTTCAATGATTGTCTGTTTCCATAATTGCATCTGCAAATTACTCTTGGCTGTCAATGTGGCAGCCTCAAGAATTGTCCCGCTGTCTTCAAAGCCTTAGGAATTGGGACAGAGATAGCAGCCTACATACTATGTTAACTCGTATATTTGTTTCTTCCCCTCTGTCCCGTCTGAATTTTCCACCCCTCAACTACCCTGAATGACGGCTGTTTAAACTTCTCTCTTACAGTCTTTATTTTTAATTTGTCCCCAACGGGAGAGGAAAGTTCAGTCCCTTAGGTTCTACTTTCCCTAATTGCCAGCTCATTTATCTAGAGAAGGGCGAAAAGTTTCCTGAGGGAGATCCTTGAAGTCAAAGACCCGGAAAAGGTAGAAACCTCGCCAGAGGATGGGGGAGGGGGAGGGAGAGAGAGAGAGAGAAAGGAATAGAGAAACTG